CCAGACTCTCCATTCTCTGAGCCTCAGTTTCCTTGCGTCTGAAATGGGGGAAAGGATGCCTACCTGTGGCTGGCTGTTGTGAGGATTAGAGATGACAGATGTACTGCCTGCCAGCAGACCTGGCCCTCAGCACACAGTAGGTGCTCAGTTAAGAGTCATAGTTCAATAATGTGAGACCCAAGGTTGCTCATCAGGTGAAGAGATTTGGTAAGCCTTGGCCCTCTCCTTCCTCTGCCACCTCTTCCTTAGCAAGGGCAGGGCAAGCCCTGGAATTCAAGTGGAGGTCTTTCTTCACCCTTTCCTACTCTTTTCTTTCTACATCTTCTGATTCCTTCCTTCATGAATCCCACCCTCGAGTTCCTGTTCCCAGAGGGCCCCAGGTACACTTGTGTAGACTTGGCAAGTCTGCAGCCCCTGCTGCATTCCCAGGCAAAACTGTGAAATTAATAAGACCACTGGTCCCCCTAATCATTCCCTTTCTCAAAAGGGAGCCAGTGTCCTTCTGTAGCAAGGAGCCAGAGGAGATTAACCAAGGAATTAATTCATGATAAATGGTTAGTGACTGATAACAGCTTAATATATTAATCCTTCTAGGGGATTTGCCTTTTAAAAGGACATCACAGGGAATGGCCATCGTTTATCCAAAAATACAGATCTCAGTTGTTGGGAACTTGACATCGAACATAGTCCAATGGGAAAAATTGAGGGAGAGGTGCAATTTGTTCTTTATGGGTAGCCCCCGGCCCACCTGTGAAAGACCAATAGCCCAACCCATTGGCTATGGCTTTTAGGATTTCTGGGCCTGTGTCTTCCTTTAGTGTTTGGGTCCCAGGGGAGCCACCGTCTAACTGGCCTTGCTGTCTTCCCCACAAAGGCCGATGAGTTCACCATTGAGTCCGTCACCATGCGGAAGGTAAGGCGGGTGAGGGTCAGACACGACGGCAAAGGCAGCGGCAGTGGCTGGTTCCTGGAGCGGGTGCTGGTGAGAGAGGAGGGGCAGCCCGAGAGCGACAACGTGGAGTTCCCTTGTCTCAGGTACATGAGTCCTGTCTGTTTTGATTTCCTCCAGCTTAGGTTATGGGCCTTAGTTTTGGGAAGACTCAGCCTATTCCAGGTGCAGGGAGCAAAATCATAGCTTAAGGATATAGTTGGTCCAGTAAAAGAGGTGGCCCTGCTGGTGGCACTTAGACCTGGGCCTCATATCCCCGCCACCCCCAACACACACAGGTGATGGAACAACAGCATTGGTGTCCCAGTGTGGTGCTGCTACTAAGTCTATTAATTACCAAAATGTTGGCATTTTTCAGTGATAAAATGTGACAACTTCAGACTTTAACTGAGAGTTACCTCAGAGGCTTTGTTACATGCTGAACTAAACTTTTGAATTAAAGGTGGTTTTTTCCCCATTTGGATGGCCTTCTACCACATCTTTTCCCTTTTAATATCTTGTCAAGATATTTTACTTTGTTTTCATTTCCTTACCCCTTATCTCTTTTGTCTTAAGCATTTGGATTTCTTTCATGGCCAGTTTGGGCTGTATCAAACATTCCTGATAGAGACGTTTCTATAATGAGGAACAATACCAGCATTGTTTGTGCTGTCTGGTTGGCCATTCCCATTCACCCGTGGCAATGTCTGGGAGGTGCACGCTTAACTGGAGCTTTGGATCAACTAGGCTCTGCAAATCCCAGGCCCAAGCTGAGTCTCACACCTATGGACGAGGTGCTGCCTGCGTGTCCAAGGTCACTTCCTTAGGGCTGGCCCAGGCTTCTCGCCTAAGGGCAGCCCTCCTTGGAGTGGGTGGGGGCAGGTTGCCTAACAGCCCGGCAGCGAATGCATTTGCTCTTTCTCTACCAGGCACATAGATGCACTCGTGCACAATGTGCATGCAGACACATTTGCTACAGCTGATTTGCTTACCACCACACCAGCCCAGGAAGAGCAGTTTCCCAGCTATGGAGGGCCACTGGGGCAATCCCAGGGCACAATGATTGTGAAATGTTTTTGTCCAGGACAAAGGCATCTACAGTCTTCAAAGTATGGCCACTGTTAGTATTAAGAGGGTTACATTGGAAAGATAGGTAATGATGCAGGCAGTTCCAAGTCAGTGGCACTAATAGACAGAAAGAGGCTCCAAGTAAGGGTTGGGGAGCCAGGGAAGGCTTCCCAAGAGAGGTAGAACAGGACCTGGGCCTGGAAGGAAGATCGGAGAGTGAATGGATGGTGAAGAGAAGGGAGGGGTGGGTCATCCAGGCTGGAGAAGTGGTGAGAGGCATGGGACTGAGGAGGGGGTTTGCAGAGGTTGGTGAGGGCCGTCTGGCACATGGAGAGGGAGCACAAAGGAGTGGGTGGGAGAGTTCTGGTCTCTCCTCAACACTGACCCGTTTGCTCCCTGCTGGACCCGGAGGCTGCCTGGCTGGGATGCTGGATGGACCAGGCTTCCTTGTTTTATTCCCATCCACTCAAAAGATATTTATGAAGCATTTATATATGCTTGCCCCCTGTCTTCATGAAGTTTGTTGTCTGGAAGGGAACTAAACAATAAGCAAACGAATACACTAAGAAAGCCACAATTGCTAACTTTGAGGAGTGGGCTGGAGGAAACGCACAGTGGTGGCAGCAGCTGCTGGAGAGGCCACACTGAGATGGAGAGGGTGGGTCAGAGATGGAGAGGGTGGGTGGGTCTGTCTTCATGGGGACATTTAGGCTGACTTCTTGCAGGATGAAAAGGAGAGTGCCAGGGGAAAGAGCTTGAGGGTTCTAGAACTCCAATGAGACCAAAGCAGGTGGACAAAGGAGAAAGCCACCTGGTGGGGTCAGAGGTGGACAGAGGCCCATATCAGGAGGGCTTGGTGGGGCTCTTCCATTTTAGGTAGTTCCCTCTGGTTTCTGCATGGAGGACAGGTGGTAGGGAATCCAGAGAGGAAACAGAATGGCAGGAGGTGTTGTGGGGTCCATGATGGTATGTATTAGTTTGCTAGGGCTGCTGTAACAACATACCACAAACTGAGTGGCTTAAACAGCAGAATTTTGCCTCGCAGTTCTGGAGGCCAGAAGTCCAAACTCAAGGTGTCAGCAGGACCATGCTCCCCCGAAGGAGCTCTGAACAGGGTCTGCTCCGTGCCTCTCAGCTTGTGGCAACCGCAGGCATTCCCGGGCTTGT